GTTTTGCATTAGATACAACGTTTAAAGAACGTAGATTACTATTCTCTAACGGCTGGAAACCAGTAATTACAAGAACATTGTTAAAATCACGTTTGTTTGCAACGGTTGACACTGTATCTCATCATGCGTACCCCGGTTAGTTCACTTTGAATAGCTCTTCCAAGGTTATATGGACAGGTTACGTCTTGATCAAGCATTCAGTATGAAGCTGAAAGAACGTAGATTAATCTCCTGTCATTGAAAATAAGAATAAACAACCAGAACACTGTCAAAATCGCATTTAACTGCGGAATACCACGATTTTTTTTGACCGGTGGCGCCATCCGTGGCAATTCGCTCAAACTGCTAACCAATTATATGGCTAGCAGTTTCAGCGATTCGCCACGGATGGCACCACCAGTCAAAAAAATAGTGGTACTACGCGATTAAATGCGATTTTAACAATGTTCTGGTCGTTTATTGTTACTTTCAATGACAGGAGATTAATCTACGTTCTTTCAGCTTCAAGCTGAATGCTTGATTAAGACGTAACCTGTTCATATAACGTTGAAAGAGCTATTCAAAGTGGACTAACCGGGGTACGCATGACGAGATACAGAGTCAACCGTTGCAAACAAATTCGATTTTAACAATGTTCTTGTAATTACTAGTGTCCAGCCGTTATAGAATGGTATTTCTCTTTCTTTAAACGTTGTATCTAATGCAAAACGAAGAAGAATCATGCCCGTTTAGCGGTGTAAATGCGATCGTAATATCTCGCAATTAGAGTTGCCGCCCCATAAGGGGCTACGGTAATACAGGCATAACTAATTTTACTAATTCAGGGGTTCTGCACTATTGGGTCGATGCATTAAGTCCTGAGGGACAATTGGAGACTAATGACGTTCATATTAAGTGCTGAATTACTGAGATATTTGCATTTTTCCATTACTAGTAATTTTCACTCACCTGTCGGTATAATTTGGCTAGCAGTTTGAGCGAATTGCCACGGGCGGCGCCACCGGTCGAAAAATAGTAGTATTCCGCGATTAAATGCTATTTTAACAGTGTTCTGGTCGTTTATTGTTATTTTCAATGACAGAAGATTAATCTACGTTCTTTTAGCTTCAAACCGAATGCTTGATCAAGACGCAACTTGTCCATAGAACGTTGGAAGAGCTATTTAAAGTGAACTAAATGGGGTATGCATCGCGAGATGCAGGGTCAACCGTTGCAAACAATTGAGATTTTAACAATGTTCTCGTAATATTGGTTCCCACCTGCCAGAGAGTACTAATCTGCGTTCTTTAAACTTCGAATGTAATCCATGACGAAGAAAACTGATGCTCGTTTAGCAGTGTAAACCCGATCGAAACCTGTTGCAATTACATATACCACTAAACAGGCAACACTTTTCTTCGTCATGCATTACATTCGAAGTTTAAAGAACGTAGAATAATACTCTCTAACGGCTGGGAACCAGTAATTACAAGAAAATTGTTAAAATCACATTTCTTTGCAACGGTTAACACTGTACCACTGTCATGCGTACCCTGCTTAGTTCACTTTGAACAACTATTACAACGTTACACTAACAGTTTTCGTCTTGATCAAGCATTCGATTTGTAGCTGAAGGTACGTAGATTAATCCACTGTTATTGATAATAACAATAAACGACCAGAACACTGTTAAAATCGCATTTAATTGCGGAGTACCACTATTTTTGGACTGGTGGCGCCATCCGTGGCGAATCGCTGAAACTGCCAGCCAATTATGTGGCTAGCAGTTTCCGCGATTCGCCACGGGTGGCGCCACCGGTTATAAAATAGTGGTATTCCGTGTTTAAATGCGATTTTAACAATGTTCTCGTCGTTTATTGTTATTATCAATAAGAGTGCATTAATCTACATACTTTCAGCTACAAATTCAGTGCTTCAGCTAAACAAAAGCTGTCCGTATAACGGTGTACGAGCTATCCAAAGTGAACTAACTGGGGTACGCATGACGAGATACAGTGTCAACCGTTGCAAATAAATGTGATTTTAACAATGTTCTTGTAATTACTGGTACCCAGCCGCTAGAAAGTACTAATGCACGTTCTTTAAACTTCCAATCTAATGCATGACGAGGACAAATGATGCCCGTTCAGCGGTGTAAATGCGATCGAATTGTGGTTGCCGCTCCATGAGGCACCTGCGGTATTACAGGCATAATTAATTTGACTAATTCTGGGGTTTTGCAGTATTCGGTTGATGCATTAAGTCCTCAGGAATAATTTGAGACTAACAGCGTTCATTTTCAGGGCCTAATTACTGAGATATTCGCATTTTTCCATCACTAGAAATTCTCACTCACCTGTCGGTATGATTTGGCTAGCAGTTTGAGCGAATTGCCACCGGTGGCGCCACCGGTCGAAAAATAGTGGTATTCCATGTTTAAATGCGATTTTAACAATGTTCTCGTCGTTTATTGTTATTGTCAATGGCAGGGCATTAATCTACGTTCTTTAAGCTACAAATCGAATGCTTTGTCAAGACGAAAGCTGTTAGTGTAACGTTGTAATAGTTGTTCAAAGTGAACTAAGCAGGGTACGCATGACGGGGTACAGTGTTAACCGTTGCAAATAAATGTGATTTTAGCAATGTTCTTGTTATTACTGGTTCCCAGCCGTTAGAGAGTATTATTCTACGTTCTTTATACTTCGAATTTAATGCGTGACGAGGAAAAATGATGCCCGTTCAGCGGTGTAAATGTAATCGAAATCTGTTGCAAGTGGGGTTGCCGCTCCATAAGGGGCTACTATAGGTGACAGGAGAGTGGACGATAGTGAAATGATTGAGTCAACATGCGCTTGAAACATGGTCTTTATTACTGTTGTTCGTGCAACTCTCGAGTTTGGTTGGTTCTTGTTTCTACAACTGTAGCAAGTGAGCGCAGACTGTATAGTGTATGCGTTTAATCCGCTGTGTGGAGGTACCGTTTTTTATCTGTAGATAGTGGTAGATAGGTTCTGCACGTTTCTCGACTTTTGTGGAAAACAATTCGAAAATTGGGCTGTTAAAAATGATTTCTGGACGAGCTCTTCATTATGTGTTTAAAATACCAAACCGCAAATTAACGGCGAAGTTTTATCGGGATATTCTTGGAATGAAGGTAACTATATATATAAAATAAGAATAATTCGAATTATTAGCTGATACAGCGTATTTTTTGTAGGTATTACGCCATGAAGAATTTGCTGACGGTTGTGATGCTGCCTGCAACGGGTTTGTAATTACTTCTATGTTTAATATTTTCTGCTACAGTTCTAATGATTAATTAGAATAAAATTCTAATCAAATGAAATGTTATGTGTTTACATATAGACCATATGCAAACCGGTGGAGCAAAACTATGATAGGATATGGTCCAGAAGATACTCACTTTGTGATAGAATTAACTTATAACTATGGGATTAAGGAATACGAACCTGGAAATGATTTTCATGGGATAACAATTAGGTCCAAAGAAGCAATTGAGAGAGCACGCTCAAGTGGTTGGCCTATAAACGAGGAAAATGATAAATATATCCTTGAGGCACCAGGTGGATACAAGTATTATCTTATCAATGAATCACAACCCAAGGATAAAGGTATTGATGAAACATGATAATTTTTTTTAACTTTTAAGTATAATTTATCCTAATAGTTTTTCTATTTAACAGATCCAGTAGAGAAAGTCACTTTATTTAGCTCAGACCTTAAAAAAACTATTGCATACTGGAAAGATATTCTGGAATTGAAAGTGTTTAATCAAACAGAGAATAATGTATTGTTAGGGTACAGTGAAGATCAAGCTAAACTTGAATTCTATGATATTGGTAAGCTTTTTGAAAGGATCTCTTATAGTGAGCATTCGAATTTGATCTAAAATAAAATATTCTCCGATTTATCTTCAGGCACTCAGGTTAACCATGCTGAGGCCTATGGACGTATAGCATTTTCTGTTTCTTATGATCAACAGCCAGAAATTCAGAGAAGGATTAAAAACAGTGAAAATACAATATTAACTGACTTAATCATTTTAGACACACCAGGAAAAGCTTCTGTGAGAGTTATTATTCTTGCAGACCCAGTAAGTATACTTGGATCACCACTCTGGAAAACATGTTCTAAATAGTTATGAACAAATATTTTAGGATGGTCATGAAATTTGCTTTGTGGACGATGAAGGATTCCGTCAGCTATCACTTCCAGACTATCCAAGTGAAAAAATTTTGGACAGATACATTGCAAAAGAGGAATGAATTCTTTAAACACACATTTGAAAAATGATAAATTTCAGTATTTTTATAAATTTAGAAGGCTATGTTATTAACACTTAGCCAATCGCGCGCGAAACGTCGATTAGGAGATCTCCTTATTCGGTCGACTAAGTGTTAATATTATACTCCTAATTATATTATATGTACTTCTAAATACTATATAGTACAGAGGTGAAGGTTTGTGATATAGATTGTTTTCACTACGCAAAGAAATTAACTTTAAACAATTTACAATAATTTTGAATATTTGTTAAAATTGTTGTAGTTTATACTATATGTTTATATATATATTGAATAATTTTTAAACCTGTTTACAAAACATGTATACTCTGCAGAAGGTTATTCTCACGAGATAAAATAAAAGATTTATTATGAAATTACGTTTCTATTACTACATCAGTTGTAATGGGAAACAGTGATATCTGTAAGAGGTCATCAACAGTGACCTCTTACTATAGATATACATACAGTTCCCAGAAAGGCTGCGTAGATAATATTGCAAGAAGTAATGCAATTACGGGGAAAAAGTAGCTTGATAAACCGAAGTGCCAGTATAGAAACATCGGTTTGCCGAATACGACATTCTATGACTATTACGCTTGTTAGAAAATTATGAGATTTAAAACGTTTTTCCTCGTACTTCTACTCGTAATTTCTGCAATTGGTAAGTATTAATAAATAGTATTTAAATTTTTATTTAAGGATCTGTTGTTTTATCTGTGGATAACAGTCAATATTATATTTCTGCAGATAGTATCAATGCAAAATGGAGATCTTCTGGCAGATCGTCAAAGCCCTCCAGCCATAGTTATGGAAGGAGTTCTAGTTCTCATAGAACATCATACGGTGGAAGTTCATCTCATGGGAGTAGCTCTGGATCACATACCACTGCTTATGGATCTTATGGGTCTTCAACCAATTCCAAACCAGTGTCACATGGACCAACATCAATAAGTCGAACGCCTACTGGATTTGGAACCTCAACAGGAGGAAGTTCTATTTCTCGTCCGTCGTCTGGTAAGTTAAACTACTAAATATGTATCACTAATCGTACTAAACGTGTCAAAGGTACTAATTATTTTTTTTATAATTTGAGGTCAAGTACCACATCAGCAAAATAAAGACACTAATACAAATTTCCTGAATGCTGAGGGTGGTGGAGCTAAACGGCCGGGTAAATTTTATATACTTGAAATATACAATACGCTATACTGGACATAAACTATGAATTTTTTGACTCGTCAGTTGGAACATCATATCCGGCGTCTGTGTATTCAACCATTGGTCAAAATGGCGGTGTAAAACCAGGAGTCACGACTGAAAGGAAACAAACCTCATCCCCTTATCAACCATCTGCACCAAAAGAACAAGTTGTACATCCTGTAGGCGTACACCAGAATCAAGGTATATTAAAATAAGTTATAGTAATGACATTTCTTTATGTGTATAATAAAATATATGTATATTATAGGAAGCAATACACCGTATACACCAGGTCAAACAAATCCTTCATGGAGTAATCCCTATTTGGGTACTAATCGACCAAGTACGCCGAGACCGACACATTATCCATGGAGCCATCAGCATGGAAGTGACAGTCGTATAACTGTACCAACTCAAACAAACCCTCCATGGAGTAATCCTTATACAGGTTTAAATCGTCCGGCTGCGCCGGGGTCTCAACCTACTCCAATTGGGTTCAAAGATCATGTATATCCACAAACTCATCCAACACAAATGGGCTCTCATTACAGTCCACCACCCTTCGGTGGACAATCTGCTTATCCCCATTCTGGACCACCGAGTAGTCCTTGGTCGGTTCCTTCTTACCATACTCCTACTTATCAGCCGAGTTCAATGCCAATGGGAAATCCTTACACGGTACATCCTTCCGGCGGTGTTCACAGTGCGGCTGGACCAGCTTACTATCCCCAACAACCACACGTTTTTGCACAACCTGCAGCACAGCCGTTTATACCCGGTCAAACCGTCATAATGGTACCAGGTCAGCAAGACTCTGGTAGAGGTATAGGTCAAATGGTTAAAGAAGCACTTGTGTTTTCAACAATTAACGCAGGAGTGAATAGATTGATAAATCCTCATACCCATCATTATGTTGAAAGTAAACCAGACACCAATCCATCAACTACAACTCATATTACTTACAATAATCAATACTTTAATACTCTGCCTGGAGTGAACGGTACTACAAATCCTACGAATGCTGGAGAATTTACTCCATCTACAGGCATAAACTCTGTTCCTTCATCAGGAACTAGGAATACATATCCTACAAGTGTTCCTAACAATGGAGTATCCAGTAATATGTATAACACGAACGTTCCTAATAATGGAGTATCTAGTTCAGTAAGTGGATCTACAAATGGAAATGATGGAACTATGTTTGGTGGATCTACTACAATCGGAAATGCAGCTGTACCCACTGCACAATCTAGTCTATCAGGAACAAGCAGTAACGAAAATTCAACCACCAATTCCAGCAATGTGGACAATACATTTTTCTACAGGATTTCTGATAATGAACTTTTACAGATAACGGAAGATTTGTTTAAAAAGTCACTTAATATATCTAAATACATAAAATTAAATTTACAGAACCGTGCTACGTCTCCCAACATAACTGACGAAGCTGCACAGCCGTGAGTACCATATTACAATTACCATGCACAGTAACACTGTTAGTATTTCAATTACCTGACTGGTTGTGCCTATTTTTATTTTCTAGATTATTCGAGGTAGAACCGACGTTGTTGGATTATCCCTCAATCTATGTGACACAGGCATTATATGACAGTTATGAGCACGATTCCCAGAAAAAATTCAATCGTACTCAAGAGATACGCGAACACGAGAATCTTTTAATGGACACTTTCTTGAATACAAACGTTATGGCTTCGGCCATGCAATGGTTAGCGGATCGTGAATTCATTGATCCCGACGACTTCGAAAGGAAAGATGTTCTTCGTCGTATTTGGTTCACAATGTTTAGTGGAAGTACTTGCGGATTCGAGCGCATATTCGAATCTGAAAACTATGGTACAGCCATTATTGGCGCCCAAGACTGGTTGTACTTTGAAAAACAGGAAGCTAAGAAGCGTATAAATTATATGGGCTATGTAGATAAATTGAATCTTGGAACTGTAAGTAACTAAGTAAACATAAGATAATATCCGCTACACCAATTACAGTGTTCATTCTTTAATATATTTATTGTTGCAGACTGCCTCCTTGTTGAAATTGAACTTCGAAATGGACGGTCTCGTTAGACCAAACGCGACAATATTCGTGGGCACAATGCCTGAATTAGAAATGTCTTTGTACACGATATGCTTTTATGCAAGACCAAACAGTCTATGCCCAGTTTCGCTTGGTGGTACTAAATTTAACATTTACACGCATTCCTTTACGTATTATGGAAACGAAGTTATAGATCTGGGCCTTCCAGTGTTCTAATATATGTAGAATAACCCAAGTATCCGTAAAAACATTTAATGTAATGTACAGCATAATTGTACATGATATAACTATTATTAACAATATTAAAGATTCACTGAGAATTATATAATACTAAACGGTCTATTTATTTACTTATATGTTATAATAACAAAATAAAGTTATTTGAACACAGATACTAAATAGTTAGTTTTTCCTCCCGGTTATTCGATGGTTCTAGAACCTCCTAATTATCCTCGAATGTTTTTGGTACCGTATAATTTCAATGATCTATAATTTAATTTACCCTAAAACACACAAAAGCGGACAGGTGTTATTGAATGTGTAATTACATAGTTTAAAAGAGTAAAATAAAATGGATAACTTGTATAAGAGTAAGAAGATAAAACCAGAAGTTCCTTTCTTATTTGTAACATTCATTAAATACAAAAAAATAGCGACATGTTAGGTGCGTGTATCCAAAGAGCAACGTCCTTGCGAGCCAGGGCCATGTGATCTCCACAACGGTTGCCCCACGAAATTTCGCTCGTTCCGCTTATAAAACGCCCGGTGTTAGATCGTTCTATTGGATCCCTACCACTCGACGTATCGCATCGAGGATCGATGCAAAGAGAAAGCTCAGCGTGTGTGTCACGCTGCAATTCTGAACGGGTTTCAGCGTGTGTGCAAGTGTGATTCTTGGTAGGAAGTGTTTCAGTAACGGGCTAGCCGTCGAGCAGTTAGCATCGATCTTTACGGAGGTCTCGTATCCACGCGTCACTGTACAATACTCGCGTAAACGAAAAAAATAAAAACAAAATAAACAGCAAGCACCGGAAGAACACAGAAAGGTAGCATGAACATCAAGCTGATCGTGATCTGTACAATCATCGCCTTGTTCGCGTTCGGTAAGTAAAGTAAATCGTTACTTATCATCGGATCGTAAAAAGAGCTTGTAAATTCAACGAGCGATCTGTTCTGTGCTGACGTTCATATCCCCGGTCCGTGATAATATGCCAGACGTGGTTGATTGGCGTAATAACATTACCTCGAAGTGTAATTCGTTAGTTATTTCTTAAATGTAATGTATACCAACGTTTTTCTTTATCTTGTATCTAAATGTATACTAATTAATGTTTCCCTTTATCTGAATCCTACGAAAGCTCGAGAGATCGAGAAACTTTCTCAAAAGTGAAATTTATACGCGTGTCCACGGAAACTAGGCGCTGTTCACGTTGCTCGAATCTCAACCTGTTAGATCGGTAGTACTCGAGGATCACACTGTTATGATAGTGCACTTTAACGCGTCTTCTAGGAACTTCTAAGCCTGTGACAATTTAGTATTTAAGGTCGATGATCTGCGTCGCAGAAAAGCGATCAATTTAGCTTTAACTCGGAATTGCATCACGGAGTTGCAAGTAAACAGATCGTAACAAGATCACTGGAGAGCAAATTGCTCTCTCGGACCGTGGAGACCACCAACACGCGTGATTATTCACTTGTCCCTCCTCTGACATTTGATGGGACTGGAGAACACGTCGCAGAAGAGCCTCGCGCAGAGACTTCTAGAAAGTCGTGGCCGAGCTGGCTCTGACATTGAAGTCTCTAACAAATTCTAAGCGATTCCGCGAAGCCTAGAATCCGTTCCGGGTGCGTGATCCAGCTCCGTTTGGTAAAATTCACCGCGATGACGTGTTTCTTATGACTAAGACCCACGGCTCCGACGGTGATGACACACGTTGTCGCGTGAAAACCGTACACAAAATGGGAAATAATACTACTGGCCAAACTATGAGAGCAGGTCTGATAATTTAAGAGAAAAATATTATTCTGTAAAGATTTGATAAAAAGTAACGTACTAATACTGATTGGAAATGATTTATATATTTAGTCATTCGGTAACTATTATTACATCGTAACAGAATAACGAATTACTGTTGCATCGGTCATGAACTCTGCTCCCATACTGTTGGCCGGTAATGTGTACACGGATACAGGCAAAATATTAAGTTGTATAAGAACACAGAATACCGGAGTTCATTTTCATAGAAACTTGTTGAAACACAAAGATCATGATGATAGGAATAAAAAATGACATCTTATGTAACGTTTGTTCTCGGAACAATGTACTTAACTAGAACGGTTGAGTTTGTCTCTGCTTCGCACGACTCGGAATCGCGGTGGAAGTATATGTAAATAGCATAATAACGCTACGAGTGCAGAAAATTTGCAATCTGATAAAATGGTTACAAGGGCCCTCTTAGGAATACGAGAGCGGAACGATTCCGAACACGCGTTCCATGTAAATAATCAGGTGGCCGTGTTAACGATATACCATTATTTGATTTAGCGAATTGCTAAATTGTTAGGGACCGTAACACGATCAATCCTGGAACGATAGGCGGGTTCGCTCACAATCAGTGGGTGGAACATTATGGAATTATTAGCCGCCGCGTGACACGGAATCGTTCGTCGCGCTTGCTATCAGGGAAAATTGAGCGGTCCGTTCGTGTCAAATGGATTTCAACGTTTTCTATTCTGCTGAACGCATCGCTACTCCTCATTTCCCCATCCCATTGATTTATCGCGCGAATACGTAATCGTGGAAACGATTGTATTCGGTGATTCCATTCGTTTCACGGTTCGCTGATTCCGCGCAGCGGCGGCAGTTGGTAATTCCGTTCGCACGAAATCCGTCGGTGTACGTACAATTCTGACAAAGTCTCTCGACGATAAAACGGTGTTACATCGTGAATCTTAATATTATCTGGTGTGTTGAACAGTCGACGTCGAGGCCGCTAAATCAGGTAGAGGGCGAAGCGGAAGTTCCGGTGGATGGGGTTCATGGTCGAGTCGTTCAAGGACGACACCGAGACCACGTACGTCCCATACTTCACACGGCTCACCCCACCAACAGAATCAAGGTAATTTCATATATATATATATATATATACTCGTATTTGAGAATATTCATACATCTCTTGCTCTTCCTGTTTCATTACGATCTCTCCTGGCAGCACAATGCGTTTTTAATTTCTGTTTACCACAGAGATGCTGTTTTTGCCAGTTCGGTCGATACAATCGTATGCACAGTAGTGATTCGAGATAGAATTGTTTCTTGTGCTTCGTAATGTACAGTCATTTGTCTGTTTACGAGAGACACACGTGTCGTATTATTGATTGATTATACAGGCATCGGGTTTCATATCTGTCCCCGCCGATGCTTCGAACCCACCCACTGGCACAGTGAAACGACGATTATTCTCTGAACTAACTGGTAACTTCGACTTTAGGTGGATCTAGTCCCGATAAAATAGGATGGAACGTGCCGGACAAGAAACCTGCTACCGGTACCAATACCGCAGTTAAGCCGTCCGCTCCTGTGAACGAACAAGCTGCGAAAGCCAGCGCTACGAATGTCCAGTCCGGGTACACTCCGTCAGGTATATAATAGTTTCTACATTTGTGGGGAGAGTAAAAAGGTGTTTAGATACGTGACGAACAATCGTTTTCAGGTGGATACCCCCGTCAACCAGCCAACAACCCTTACAATACAAACACACAATCTAATGGCCCTTATAATCCATCGGTGGGACAAACATACAATCATCCACCAGTGAGTCAAGGTTACAATCCGTCGGTTGGCCACGGATACAATCCACCACCAGGCCAAGGTTATTACAATCCTTCTGTCGGAGGGCACGCGCCTTATGGAGGGCAACCATCATACGGCAATCCGTCTTACGGCGGACAGAGTCCTGGATTTGGACAGCCGTCTTATGGATCTTCGTTCGGACAGTCGTTCAGTCCATCCATGGGACAGGTCCCTCAACAAACGGTACTCCTTCAGCAGTCATCAAGACCTGGCATTGGACAGCTGGCCAAGGAAGCGTTCGTTTTTGCCGGTGTCAGCGCTGGCGTGAACGCGGCAGTGAACAGGATAATACCTGGAGGAATTTATGGCACCAGAGGAACTAGCGGCACCTCGGAGGCTGGTGGTCCACATACACAAATTACTTATAACAATTACTATAACAATGGAACCGCACCGGCTCCAGGCTCTGAACCAGCTGCAGCTGTTCCTGCTGCTGGTCCAGCTGCAGCAGCTCAACCGGCAGCTCCACCAGCAGCTCAACCAGCGGCTCAACCAGCAGCTCAACCTGCCGCTGAGACACCACAAACATCTCAAAATAATGCGGGTACCAACAACGCTCCAGCTAATAATATGAACCCTCAGGATGCTCCCCAGAACAATCCCAATCCTCTAGGATTCGTCACGTCCAACGATGACATCAAGAAGTTAACAGAAATCTTATATGAGAAGGAAAAGGACAATAATGCTTTTAAGTATATAACCATGAATTTACAAGGTCAGAAGAAGGATGAAACCAGAACTTATAACGATGTTCATGTCTATTCATATTTCAGCCTACTGAATGTTAAACCTGAAGCCTACGACCTTCCAACTGTTAAAGCCGTATTAGCTCTGCACGACAACTACGAGCTGGATGTTAAAACGAAAGAAACAATTTCTCCTGAGGAACGCCGAGAGGAAACGGAACTCGTTGACAAGATTCTCGACACCGACTTGGTCAAGTCCACCATGAAGTTCTTAGCTGAGAAGGGATACATTCAAGATGACGAATACGAATTTAAAGACACTCTGAAACGTATGTGGTTCTCTCTGTTCAAACGAACCGATAGAGAGGCATCCAGCTCTGGCTTCGAAACGGTATTCCTAGCTGAACAATTCGACTCGGACATAATTGGCTTACACAATTGGATTTACTATGCTAAGCAAGAAGCGGAGAAGAAAATCAATTATCTTGGATACATCAAGGAAGCCAAACTCGGCGACGTAAGTTATCTAGAGTATTCAGTACTTTTGTTTGCGCGTTTAAAGTTCATGGGAGATTTGTTTTGTAAACTGATTACCGATTACAGAAGGGAGCAGTTCTCAAAGTACGATCATCATTGAATGGAATAGTACAACCAGTCAGCACAGTATTTGTTGGCACATCACCAGAATTGGAGTTTGCTCTGTATACAATGTGCTTCTTCACTCGACCTAACAATGCCTGTCCAGTCTCACTTGGAGGAACAGAATTCATGATTTTCGTGAGCAGGGTCAACTACTTCGGAAAGGATATCTTGATCTCTGCGTACCCTGATGTTTAACTTAGTTGACCAAAATTACACTTGAATATTATATGAATATTAACTAGAAATTGATAATTTGTAAATCAAATATGTACGTAATTATTATTCATGTATAATGGCATAGAAATTAGATGCTTCCTCTCTTTTAATATAAACGCATTCTAAGTCCTTCTATATGGTTGAGTTTGTAAAAATTAAGTTTAGCATAATGTATGAAATATCTGTTTCGAAATTTTTTAGATACCTGTTACCTAAACGTAATATGTACTGTGCTTACATACCTGACAAGATTTCTTGTTCCATTTATCTAATTCTGAGAGCTCCAGTATAGGCACTACAGATGGCCGGCCATGAGCACACCGTGTGGGAATTTTTGTCTTCTTTAATAACTTCAAGAGCCACTTGCATTGCTGCAGCGTTAGTGGATCTCCAAACTTTATAGCTCCTAAAATACTCTTACATTAGATGATAGCGAATACGATGCTGTGTACAAACGAATGAGATTGTTACTATGTTAATATTTGCTACTAAAAAATATACACTTCGAATATTTATGTTTTATGCATTGTGTATTTTACTTATGACACTGTTAGTGTATTACACATACCGTGACAAGCTTCCATTGCAATTGCATTGTGAATGGTGTGTGGCAGATCATTGAGTCCATGATGTTTGTCCTTTGTGAAGTATTGCAATATTTCATTTAAAAGACTTTGTAGATTAAATTTTAACTTGACCTCATCATAATATCTATCTTTTTTTAAACATTCTGGCACTGTATGCACTGCCATCGTGCTATCGTTTATGGCAATGAAACTTATTCCAAACCTTTTTAATTGAATCTTATTTGATATAAGTAAATTGCATTTATCTACAGGTAACTGTATGACAATAGGATCTCTCAGTTTGGTAGAAAGCAATTGGTTTCTAGTTTGCGACTTGTACTCTACAAATTAATAGCACACTATCATTTGTGACTGTTTGTTAGATACTATTTTAATATAAAATTCGTTTTCTTTACTATGAAGTAAATTTTCATATCGTATCCTCTCATGAATAGCATGTTGGTCCATCAAGAGTAACACCTTCCAATCATTTTGAATTGCTAATCCTACTATAAATTCGTTCCTTACCTGACCCAATATCTACAAAAAAAATTAGTACTGTCATTAGAATGGAAATTAATTCATAGAATATATGAAATTCTTAAAAGAGTTACTTCTACAAATTCTAGAAGCTCCTTCTTTAATCTAAATTCACGCAATCGTTGCACAGCTTTGCACGGTCGTACAACCATTTCGTGGTGCAGCAAAGTATCTGGAACTAAAAGAATTTTAATGTCTCAACGGATACTAGTATCTTCAGTATCAAATTATTGAATAAACAATATGTTTTAACATAGACACTTACTCTGCAATCCAGACTTCAATCTACTTGAAGTCACGCTTCCACCAGATTTGATTAAAACATCCGTCTTCGTCAACTTGGTGTTGCCGCATAAAAGTTTATGCAATTTTTTTGGCAAGAAATCATAATGTTTATGAAACAGCGTGGTACTATCAAAGTTATTAGTTTTCTTTAATCGGTTTGATCCATTATCGGGATGGGTCCAGTTGGACCACTCTGATAGAAGTGTCAGTGCATAAGTTTCTTTGACTAATTTATTGTCTCGCGAATCGGGTGTAAAAAGTTGAACGTCAGTTATTTCGTTTCTTGTTAATTGACTTATACTCTGTGTATTAACGCTGTTAATATTCGTTAGGTCGGAATAACATAATAGGGATACATTCTGTTTATCAATTGTGGTTTCATGAAGTAACGGTACCCTGAAATTTGTAGTTTTCCGTGTGACAATGCGACAGAATGTGTGCAGTATGCCACCTTTCTGGAGAAACAATTGGTGAGGATTCAGTGTTTTCTCAAACCATGTTGTAATATTATTTGTATTATTTGCATAACTGTATATCGAATTCTTATGTCTCCCAACATTTTTTGAAACCCTATCAAAAAGGGGCATGGTGCTTTTAGTAAAGATATTTAGTATTTCATTTCGAATGCTTAATAGTAAATCTTGAATAGAAGGTAAAATTAAAACTTTTTTTCCCTTTTCTACTGTGAAAATATAATCTCTGCATGAGATAAATAACAAAATGAAAATAGCTTGATTTTTTCGTATCTGATGTCTTCTTGATGATCTTGCCTGTACAGAGGATCTTAATATAGTGATAAAGGCAGTTGAAATCACTTGGAGAATCAAAGGACAATGAACAGGTCTATTGTTCAAAAAAATATACTGTCTAGCATTTAGCTTTGTATTAGCTAATCCAATGAATGCACAGAATTTAGTGCTATCTTCATTCACATTTTCAATGTACCACACATTATTAAATGATACTTCTCTACGATATAATGACTTAAAGATTTCTATTGGCTTATGGGGCTTAGAGATTATCATAATAACTTTCTTTCCTTGATCATCTCTGATAGAAAATGATACCTGTAAATAAAGAAGATGTATTAATCATACGGAAAGGTCAATGCATAAAAAATGAGTGAAGTTTAATTTACCTGTAGATTAACTATGGCAATGTTTCCAACTAATAAATACATTGAGAGTATATTCCATTTGTCAAATGATAATTCATGAAATCCATAGATGCTTACTGTAGTTCCAATGGATGGTCTTCTTTGAACTCTAATAATTTTAGGTGCACAGCACACTTTAAAAACCTGCAAACACAAGAAGAGTATTAGTTCATATGTAAGAACACTGATGCACAATATATTCACTGTAACACTGTGTATGCCTTCATGTATGTTTTAGACGACTTGTGACGTCTAGAAGTAATTATCAAAGCATCAGAAAATCTACGAATATTTGCAAGTGTCTGTTTGTTGGAGTTACAAATGTCTTGCACATTCCGAGGTTCGTTTTGTGCGTTATACTCTGCAATAGCGTTCAATTTCTCCCTTGAGATCCCTATGCCATTATCTACTACTTGAATTTTTCGTATTTCCGTGTGAAATCGTATTGCAATCGATGTAGCATTTGCCTTTAATGAATTCAATACCTAAAAAATAAAAATTTCGGAATGAGTATTTAGTAAAGTCACAGTTATTTTCACAATTTTCTACGCACTAGTTCCAATACACATTCCGCAAGATTGGTCACGTTCGATGTTGCAACTATAGACGTGTCCATTTTAATATTCTCATAAAACAGTAGATTGACATTAAATTTCGATTCTCTTTTATGTTATTTTAGTCCATTAAACTAAATGTCGGGGTAATAAAGAATTGAACTATTTACTGGGGACAACGCTCGACCAGTGATGGTAGTTGATGCAAAACAAATCTTTTCACTACTGTATGCTGTAAAGTAATATTAAACTGATTAAAAACCAACATAATGTTATCTGGTACATTTAATTTTTATCTTGTTTACCATTACCTGATGGTGACTGGATATGATACCATTGACTGATTTGATATTATGTTTCGAATGCAGTTACGACCGTAGCATTTCAAGGGTGCATTGTCAACTGTGATTTGCCAAGTGGTTTCAAATAAGCCAATCAGCTGTCACCTTAGACTTTACCGATTGTCGGTTAGACGATAATGTTATTTGAATATTATTCAAAAGGATATCGAATAAAACGGGCCCCTTGTACGACATATTTATAAAAATTTCTTTATTTTATTGCAACTACTAAAGAATTTTCACATGTCGCTTTTGCGGCTTGGCGTAAATTGTGGAAAACGATTATCGAATACTTTTACACACAGAATACGTGGAATTTTATACAATAACTGACTTCTGTTCTCTCTTTTTTTTATTCTGCTAAGAGTATTCAAATACAATTTACGAACGTTCAGTTGTGTGCACAAAAGGAAGGACTTCGAATCGTAGATGATAGTGCGCGTAACGCGTAGTACCCTATTGATGGTCGTAAAAATTCGAAATGCATATACCGTAATGCTTCCATCGATTCTCGTTCGACGTCTGCGTTCGTGAGTCGCCTTCGAAATTAGTACACTGTTAACTACGTCCTGATAATTAATATTAGATGTGTTTAAATTATATTCCATATTACATATAGAAAAACTTAACAATTGTAACGGATATGTCAAGATCTCTGGTCTCAGGAAGTTAACACGTTTTTGTCGTCGCCCATTTTTCAATTATTTTAATTACCTTGAAAATTTTACCCTTTTCATTGTCCATATTGTCCGAATTTTGCACAATTCTTTTAAAAAATCCTTAAAATATCTAAGTGGCAAACGTGTCAACCAAATTTCAACAATTACCGTGGATCGAATCACGATCACTCGTCTATAAGTTTTTGTCTTTTACACCGTTTATTAGCGAATGCCGTTCTATCATCCTTTTTTTCTCGTTTTTCTGTCACGTGAACGTTCAACACAACACAATTGAAAAGGGGAAGCTTAATAATACGTAGAAATACGTAGTTACATACGTACTCGTATGGGTACGTAACGCGCGTAAAAAATGATCCTCCCGGTCTTATTCTTCGTAACGTAGCAATATAATCGACATTATTACAAATTACGTCCAACAGAACAACATTTTTACAATGTAGAATTAAAAAAAAGAAGAAGTATTAATAAAAATACGCTCGTTCAGATACGGTGAAACACGCAGACACTAATAATGTGACATTATTTGCGAATTTTCCATCTCTACACACGTGTTTCGCCCAGTGTTCTACGCATGGACGTGTATATTCTATATACAATTGAAGATCGCAAAAGTATCCCTTAAAAGAACGTCTACTTTACTTATTGCTGTCTCTTGGTGTAGACTTTCGTGATTGGAAGATTTAACAAGTAACTTTTTTTCTTCTTTGAAAGTAGACGTTTTTGTCTTCATGCGTACAAAGTATTACACAAATACGAGCAAGATGGTATTTGAAATAGAAAGTAGCGTCAGATACCAAAAAAAACCTGTACCTACAATCACTCGAATATTGTTTGGAAAAGATCTTTTACGATTCACTGACAGTTTTAATATAATCACAGATGCTCGTTCAATATTTTCTATCGCAAATACTATTTCACGCGTACATGATCATTGAACACTGGTTGCACGTCGCCCTTTCCTCCGCACAACAATTTTATTCTTTTTTTTTTATCGTTAGGAAGTAATAGAGATCAACGAAATGAAACGATTTCGTTAAATAAGAAACGCGTCAGAACATACAACCTGCAGCGGAATTAACAGCATACCTTTTTCGCACCCGAAACGATCTTAATTATTCTAATTCTCGAACCTGAATGATCCGGTCGCACATCAGACATCGAGAAAGTGATAGCAGGAGAGTTCAATGAATAGTATAAAACGAGTGGTTTACAGTTGTGGCGACCAGCGAGCTCGGAGAACGGTACTCTCGTAATACTAAAAAAAAACTTAGTGAATAATCTACACGTAGAAAAGCATCGAAATGTCGGATTGAAAGCTCGCCGTCTATAAAATGGTATAATGGCTTTATTTGTAGTAAAATTATAATAATAACAATCACATATGGTGTCATCTATCAACGAGATATAACACGCACGTTTAAAATGATGGGACACATATATAAATAATTTAGACGTATCGTGTGGCTCGACGTAGTGCTTAGAAATCATGTAACATTAAAAATATATAATATATATATATATATATATATATATATCTGAACGTAGAAGACCTCACGCGATTTCTCGGTCTTCCGGATATCTGAAGATATGCTTTCGTTAGCGATACACTGTTGCTTTTGTTCTCCTCCCATCGTTTGTTCGTTTACACATTGTTCGTTACATGGTTCAGTTTTCGTCTTTAGTTTTTCAGTGCGATATCTAGGAATCATATACAATCGATATATTCCTCGATCAACGACACAGTCCTTAAACACGCTCGGTAACAAAAACTCAGTCTTCTTCCTTCTTTTCTGGTTTCAGGTCCACCATTGCGTGGAGCTCCTCTGGACTGTATCTGCAATTAAACGGGCAATGATCGAGACAAATCCTTAAACGGCAAGCCGAAGTATGGCCAACAGACTATAACCGTGGGCGAATCATGACATGGGTAAAAATCACTTTTCAAGTGGTTTTCAAGCACACCTACCCCAGGAGACTTTGTAAGTCACAGACAAAGCGGTAGACGTATCGCTTTCCAGCGGTCTTATGTATAATGTTCTTATCGTAGTAATAGCGTAGACCACGACTCAGCTTCTCGTAGTTCATTTTCGGCTTGTTTTTGCGAATACCCCAGCGACGTGCCACCTCGTCTGGGTCGGTCAGCTTAAACTCCCAACCGTCGCCGGTCCACGAGATAAATCCTTGGCATGATTTGTCCGTTAACAGCTCGAGCAGAAACTGCCACAGCTGAATGGGGCCCGAACCGGTGAAGCAGGGTCCGCTGCCTAGAAATTTTCCCGATAGATATCAGCACATCTATCCCCGTACAACGAGAGAATACAAGATATCGCGACGAACAACAATTTGGAAGACTCACTTGTATAACCGGCGATCATCGCGCTCTGCAACAGAGGCTTCTGATCGGGATTGTTGCCAATGGAGGCGGGATGATGGGGATTCGACGAGTCCCTGGGAGCAAGACTCGCGAGAAACGCGGGATGATGGGACACATGTTCTCCAATGGGACCGACGCTCCATTGGTCGCCGGTAACGCCGCCAGCTCCACCACCGCTTCCGCTGCCTGGAACCGTTTGGAATGGCGTCGCGTCGTATTGCCCGTATCCGCTCTCGCTGTATCCCTCATGATAGCGGCCTGTGCGGAATTGTATATGTAAATATAACACGATCGATCGAGAAATCGATGCCTCCGCGAATAGCACATCGTACGACGGACACGTTCAATAATATACGTCTTGAAACTGAAGGGTACAACCTACCACGGGGATAGTTTTTGAACGGTGACGGCTGATACTTCGGCTCGAGTTGAATTCCGCTGGTGCTGTAGAATTCAGGCGAAGCGTCGATATTGTACGGATGGGGCGGCTGATGATCTTGTGGCAGACTATGATACTCGGACGCCTCGTCGTAACCGGAATAATGAGCCGGGGTCATGTAACTCTCCGTCGCGGTCTGCGTGACCCTGAGATCGGTTTCATTCGTTCCTGTACCCGCGAGATCGTTACCGCTCGTCAGACCTCCGCCACCGCCTTGCAGGTGCTCCGTTATATGGTGATTGCTGTAGTTCGCTGTAAGATCAAGGAAAGCGAGCGTTTTACAATCGAATACGAGTTGTCAACTGGAGCTTCTCTGGAAAGACTGCAGGATATCTTCTATTCGCTTCATTGTACAGGTTCCTCTCGATTATCGCCTGGCTTGTTCTACACGATTATTGTCCAGGGGTTATCCCCGTCACTGGGGCATGGAACTTGCCAAGAGCATACTTTGTTGCCCCTCCGCTTTTATTGCCAAGGCTCGGGATTCGAGCAAAAAACAAATTTACGAGGATCTGAAGCATTTCTTACTATAAGATTATTGTCCTGGCGCGGATCCGAGTTGGGGACGATAATCGAGAAGAGTATGTACTCAGAAAGTCTGTATTCCGAGTGGGGCCTATACTTACTCTCCGTTTTCAGTTGATTTAAGTTCCGTAAGTGTATGTACGCGTTGTTCGCGGTGTTGTTGTTGTTATTGTTGTTGTTGTTGTTGCTGTTCGGAGTACTGGAATGAGAGTTCGGGGCTTGGGTGCTATGGCTGTGCGGTGGCGGGGAGGTTTCGTCCCTCTGGTTTTCGTCTTGGCATACGGGACTACGTAAGTGATTGTAGCCACCTGTAAATAAGAGAACATTTTTCATTCTCGGATCTCCCGAAGAATCTTCTTTGGTCCGTGATAATATCGAGGGTGGTACGATACTTGCATAGAGGATCGTGCTATCTTTGGGCAGATCTTCAAGGACCGATATCATTTATCTAACATCGAAGATACCAAGTACAGGATATCCTCGATGAGTGTTCGAAGGCTCCTCGGCACTCAACATTAAATATTTCATAAACTAATGACCATATTCCAAGCTCTATCACTGTAATAAATCTCATTAAAAAAACAACGTTACACCTGGTATCTCTTATTGTCAGTGCCGAGGAGCCTCCGAGCTCTCATCGAGGATTTACGGTATACTGTTCATCTATTCCACTTCCATCGCTTTAATCGACGATGTATAATTGTTGGCCAAGTGTTAGGGTCTGGTACCATCAGGATATCGACATTTCAGGTACCAACTACATATACATTATTAGTTATTAATCTGTTATTGTTCGATTAAGGTCACTCCAACCAGAGTTTCGCAAACTCTACGTGTTCTCCAGGTACAAATCTCGCAACGATCGTTCGCCAGCACTGGCCGTACGTATACATGCACATATTTCGAACAATCGGAGGAGGACCAATGGCCTCCGTCGCGTGGGTGTGCATCAGGGGGGGGGGCACTTTTGTGTTACGGCCGAATGGAAAATCATTCCGGGTGGAACACCGTGGAGGATTGCGTCGGCGGTGTGTTGGTGCCACACGGGCAGGCACCACGGAGTCTGCAGGGAGGAACCGCTGACACGTGGGCGGCGCGCATCTCGTCGATTGGCTCGGGCGAACTCCGCCTATCCTCCTCGGACTTCTCTTTCCTTGGGGGCCACGAGAAACACGACGACGCATCGGACGCGCGCGCGCGAATGCCCGCGTCCATTACGGGAGGCTGTGCGGGATCGGTTCGACCTCGTTCGTGGAAATATGCTCGACGGAACCGACGATTCCCCGTCGCGACGGATTGTTCGGATGTAGAATTTCTATGGTCCTATTCAATATCAGAAGTTAACGACACTTTGCACCGCCACACATGTTCACCCAAATATAGGTGGTCACGTGTATACATTGTGCAAAGTGGCTGGGATTATTTATTAGGCGTACAAATTAATTCATGGCTTTCTTTTCATAGATTTGTCGTTTATTTACGAGAAACTAAACTACAGTCTAGTCTTGAAAATATTTCCCATCACATCTACTGCATTTACGACAGTTCTCGGGCGAATACAATGATGACGTTCGCGGGTCAAGATTTAATTGTGGGGTTTACGAATTAATTTGTACACCTAATAAATACCGTTACAAAATTATTGAGTAAAATTAATATCCCAGTGTAATTTATCAATACAGCCTCTGTTGGCTGAACGCATATATTTTCGATGATGTATGACTTCAAAGGGGAATAAGGTGTGTCTGGCTACATACGACATTTTCCACTGTGGCAGTCGCGTCAGAATAGAGCGATTCGACACACCAAAGTGTTAGTTTCTTGAACCTGAGAACCGACCGACTTCTTCTCTTTGTCGTAAGTGTTTCAATTGATAATAAATCTATGTCCTATATAATATACTGTTTAATATTTCTTAGTTGTACTTCCTGCCATGGAAGTCGATTGATTTGGCTTATGAGTGATCCAACTGACCTGAATGTTTCTAATTAGAATTCTCTTTGATACAGAAGGATTATTGCTCATAAAGGGATTCGATTGGATTAAGTAAAGATTGTGCAAACGAAGGTAATTCCTGTCCCTGAAGTACATATATGCAGAGACATATTAATTTGAGTATATTCGTCTGGGGTTTATGATATCTTGACACTGATATTGTTAGATTAAAAGACTGGATAATATTCATTTTGTTGATCCGATCTTTATACATAATCTCCATAGACATTGTACTCGGTCCCCCACAGTCTTTTTACTTCACGATAGATCTCTGAAAGGGGGCGTCCCCCCGTTGCACTACGAATTCGAAGCGTTCGTAGATTAATTATATATGCGAAATGTCGACCTATGTTCTATGCAGATCGCCGGTGTGTGTCGATGCCTGTGTCCCCGTTTTCTTCTACGAGGAAATTAAAACGGAGCGGTTTCGATCGAATACCGACAGCGATGATAAGGGGTGCGCGCATCCTGTTTTGATTACTCGCGGGCAGATTTGTATTTTTGTCGAGAGTGGCTGATAAGATGCGGCCAGTAGATCCAGACGAAACCGCCTTTCAAGGCTTACCACGCCAACGGAAATCGACCGAAATCGCTTAATCTTATCGGAAATTTCATCGTTAGGCGTTTGGGGAAGAACGAAAGAGACTACGTGCGCGTTGTTATTCAAATTTCAATTCTTATGTGTTGTGGTTGAAATAAAAACGAGTCGAGTAAACCGCATTGAGAAGTAATGTTTCTCCGGAAAAGGATAGATTATATTCCGTGGGAAAAAAATTTGTTCGTTTTTCTTTTAATACAATAAGGATTGCACATTTTAAGGTGGTGATACATTTATGCCATGCAATGTGTACTGCTAGACACGAGAAAATTTATCAACGTACAATTACAAGCACTCGAATACAAATACTTTATCACTTTACTCGTGCTCGTACGTGTCATGACGGTGTGCGTGTGAAGACGAATTTGACAGGTACCTATCCAGTAAATAATTCTTAATTATGATTTTTCTCGTCTGTGTTGTCAGTCGACACTTTAACTTTACATCCTTTCTAGTATTATTTATTACTCGAAGTTTGTTGTAATTCCTCCCTCTGCAAGAAAGATAGCAAGGTAAGTAGCCCATAAACCTCTGGCAAGCTGCTTTACACCGGAATCGAGTGTCGTGGCAGTGTGTTAACATGTTCACACGCATCACATGTATGGCATACAGAGTCCGTACCCGTACCTCCGTCCAGAGTTGAGTGCACGTTTATTCGAATAATATATGTATGTAATATTCCGATTTATTACCAGTTAAATTCCGTTTTATTTACCAGTTTTTCCTCTACAAAATTAATCGATCGTAATTTTACGAAAGTATGATTATTTTTTGGTATCACAGTAGTATACAAAAAACCTAAAAGCGGGCTAAAAAGGAATCTGTCTGAAAATTTATATAAAAAATTGTCAAATTAATTTATCCTTTCCACGAACGATTAAAACGTTCTCAATACAATGACGAACACACTCAGGGAAGAAAAATTGTTTCGAAATATATGTATGGATGGATCCAAACCAGAGGAAAAGTGTGTACGTAAAGTTGGGTTGTTTTTCTGATAATTCGTTACCAGGAGAGTATTTTTTACCCTGCCCTCTTAACGAACGCCGCACGATGGGACAATGGCTTCGCGGATTACCATAATCCGCCGTCTAAGCGTTGCGTTGCGTGAACAGTCGGAATTATAATGGGGGGCCACGATATGTGTGACCGACCAGCCGACGTTCCCACACTTATCCGTCTTAACGGCGCGAGGAAAACAGGTGGCCCGAGAGACACGACCCGTAACGAGCCGGGGTTGGTAGCTGCTATCGTTAGCCCCCGCGAAACAGGGCCCCGGCGAAAGTCCTAAAGGCCCCTCGAGTCCGCGACGACACGCGAATATCGTTCGAAACAAACGTCAGCACATCGTGTCGCGACCGAATAAATGTTTGCTAATGCCTATTGTGATAACCGCTAATTATAAACCAGAGTTTGGGGCACATTTTATTTGAAATAACATAACAAATATTCATTTAAAATAACGAATTATTTGAAATATTTTATTATTTTTATTTTACAAATAACACAAGAAAACTAACTTCATTCTGTGTTCAATTGAAATAAATTACTTTTATATAATATTTTTACTTCAGTTACGTCACTCAAATAAAATAACAAATAATTCGATATAAGAGAATTAATAATTCTAACATGATGTATTTGAGAAATTATTCCAATAAATATTTGATGGAATAAAATAAAAAAGGAGAAAATTACTTGATTTGAAATTCAATTAACGAAATAATCGAAAGAAAGGTCATTTGTCCAGTTCAAATAAACTAACGCATGATTACTTCAAATAACATGTAACCCAGATAAGATAATATATTATCTTTACGATTATTTTTCAAACAGTTCATTTGGATAATGCCCAAGCCTGTTATAAACAAGAAGTAGTATGGCGATGAGGATCTAAATTCACGATATGTCTCGCGACTGCACGAAGCTGAGCAGCACTTTTTTTATGACTGTTGAATAGATATTATCGCTAAAATGAACAAGATCCTGTTTCAGCAATGTCACTCATTATCCTCAGACTTCGAATGCTCGATGAACATAAATTACTGTAAACAATATAAAATATATTTCTCATCCCGGAGACTGGGTCGATTCAAGATAGGGAAAGGTTGCCGAAATTGGATATTGCATCTTTTCATGACGAGTATACTCGGCACAAACATCGAAAGGGTTAAATCGCCGAGTGGAAAGTTGTTGTAGTGGATCATTCAAGACTGTCGGCATCCAATGTATAATTATAATAACTACACGTTACGGTTTTCTGGTTTCGTTTTCGCGGAACCTGATACAGTGACTCCAATGAACTCACAGTTCAATGATTCATGTACAACAATGAAACCAAATAGAACCTAACCACCATAAACATCAGGCCTGTGGGTGGTGAAAACGGTCGCTATCGGACGATAACTTGAGATCGCGACTCCTTTTCGTCCGTGAACCGCCATATATCGTTCGAGAACGGTCTAGACGGTGGTGGAATAGTGAGAATCATCGTCAGGGTTTCCCTACGGGGTTCACATACACGGTGTCCAAGTTGGGCCCCGTTCGGCGGCGAATATCTGTAATAGGGCCGCGGACCCTTGCTTACGCACCACCTATACACACCTGCGCACGGGCTGTGTGGCGTGTAGAGCTGCACCTCGCACCCCATTTCATGGACGGTGAGCGTGGGAGTGCAGCCTCGGGCAGGCCCTCACGGGAACGCGTTCACGCACA